TCTCTCTCTCTCTCTCTCTCTCTCTCTCTCTCTCTCTCTCTCTCTCTCTCTCTCTCTCTGTGTGACAACACACAACATGGCCTTGCTAAGTTCTCCGTTCAGGCGGACCGATGCGGCTAGGGTCGGGACCGTACTAGCGGTCATGCCATTGGGTGTCCATGGCTGAGTGGGTGTGTAGAGTGGGTTTTATGACTGTGTCAGATTAGTTTCTCGGACTTACTACCGTTCTTGTCAAGGGTTTGGACCCCGTCTGGCAGTTTGCTAGGATTGCAAGGTTGGTGTGAGTAAAGTCGACCACTTTTCTCTCTCAGGGACGGGTATCGCTAACTCTGGGCGATGTGGTGAGTCCTTATCCATCAGTCAAATGCATCCTGGGCAGACTGCTGGGGTTCAACCTCCTGATGAGTCGGTGAAAGTGCAACGAAACAGTCTGGCACACTAATGCTTTTTTCGAGTGTATAGTGAATACGACAACACACACCCCTAAAAAAAAAAAAAAAAGAGCGCATCACTAATTTAGTAATTTGTGCATGGCGCATGGCGCACGACGCACCGCAGAATTGCGCTGCAAGTTTAGAAATCTCATTTGAATGGACAGACAATAAAATTCTGGGGAGCATCAGTCCGGTTCCTTTTTTCTTTTTTTTTCCCAAAGGGCGGCGCCCTTGAGATTTCGTCATTAAACTGACCAGCCCCAGGTAATTCAGAATGTTTCATTGTATTCTGGTCATCTGATTGTGTCTGGATTCCAACTCCGGTCTGCGTATTTCAACCAAGTCGTAAGAATACATCATCTTAATATGCATCCACGCTCCTCCCAATTATGGCTGGAAGGCCCGAGAAGACACCATTGATTACTTCCCTTAGGAAGGATGTACCATCCCTCGCCCCTGCCTAAGCTGGCCTTTTGCGTAAGCCTTCCAACCAAAGACAGTTTTAATCTCTGGAGTCTGGACCCTATTGTTCTGCCTGTTGCAGGCTCTTTTTTGGAGTATTTTTTTGTGTTGCAAACGAACGAACGAACGAACGAGCGAACGAACGAGCGAACGAACGAACGAGCGAACGAACGAACGAGCGGACGAGCGGATGGACGGACGGACGGACGGATGGACGAACGAAAGACGGACGGACGGACAGACGGACAAACGAACGACGGCCGGCCGGCCGGGCGAGGGAGCGAGCGAGCGAGCGAGCGGACGGACGGACGGACGGACGGACGGACGGACGGACGAACGAACGAACGAACGAACGAACGAACGAACGAACCAACCAACCAACCAAACAACCAACCAACCAACCAACCAACCAACCAACCAACCAACCAACGAACCAACCAACGAACCAACGAACCAACGAACCAACCAACGAACCAACCAACCAACAAACAAACAAACAAACAAACAAACAAACAAACAAACAAACAAACAAACAAACAAACAAAACAAACAAACAAAAAAGAGAAAAGAAAATCTCACATGAATGAAAAATGGAGATAATAAGGAAACCTCAGAAGCAGAGACAAAAAGGAAATCCCACATGAATGGACGCAAAACTGAGAAAAGTGAATCTCAAATGCATGGACAGAGAAGGAACCGTCGCAAGACCTCCCTCTACCTTATGCAGTGAATCCCTCCTGTTCTGTTCATACCCGGCTCCACAACCCACCCACGGTGTATGGAGTCTGTGTCCATAAGCAACTGCATTATCAATGTCAACAGTGACAACCCACGAAAACCAGGCAAAGAGAGTAAGCTGAGAGATTCATCAGCCGTAGACTGAAATTACCATTTAATAGTCTTCTTAATTATTTCATTAATAAATTGAATTTAGCAAAGTATTTATTTGTTCAGTTAAAACTTGAAAGTTTAGACCATACTTGCAAGCGGATGGACCGGACGAGCGTCCGGTCCGGTCCGCATTGCCGCGTGCAGCACCCTCCCCCCGGACCGGACGGACCTGGACCGGACGGGGCCGTTTTTTTTTTTTTTTTGGGGGGGGGGGGGTAACTGGTCGTCGGACGCACATTCGTGCGCCGCGCGCGTCCGGTCCGGCGGTCCGCGGCACGTGCGGAACCGCCTGGACGACGTCCGCTTGCAACTATGGTTTAGACCAATCATCCGATCTTTTGCCGATCTATTGGTGGGGAGCAGCTGTCAGTATCATTCTTTGTTCTTCTTTTCTGTTCTTCAGTTTGGACAATTTCTAGATTTATGCGTGTCATTCTCGTTCCCATCCTTTTCTTTTTTTTAAAGAAGAAATAGCATAAATTGGATGGGAAAAGGACAAAACAAAACTCACTCACTCACGTCATGTTGAATAAAAAAAGGAGCAGCACAATACTTGTGAGCAATGTGAGGTTGTACTCTTGTGGGGGAAACAATGCACAAAAGACAAACTGCAACATCCAGCACGATGCTCCAGCATAAGTGGGACAGGGCTTAGGGTCCCAGCAAAGACCAGGGCAAGGGGGCGATCCAACAGTTCTAGTAAAATTAGAAAATCCGAAACCCAAGGAGCTGAGAGGGACAGGCTGGTTGAGGCCCTCAAGGGAACAAGCTGCAAGTACCTAAGAGCTACCGTCTTCACCCACCTGGTCATTATAGCCGGATCTGGTACAATTTCGAGTCCAGATACTTTAATGACCAGGCGTTCTATTCGGGTGAAGACGGTAGGGTAACCAAGCTAGAACCAAGGCCAGAAAAAAAGTAGAGCAGGCTAACTACGGCAGGGGTGATGAAGGGGGGTACATCCTTCCTCCGACAAGTAATCAAATCCCGTCCTTCGGAGACCTCCACACCATAAGGGGGAGGAGCGTGCGTGAGTGCTTATTGTAATCCCTTCGGACTTGCCGGTGGAATAGGAACAGGGGACTGATGCTCCCCATAATGGAAAAGCAGCCAGAACCCTAAGGTTCTGTTTAAAAAAAAACAAAAAAACAAAGAGGCTACCAGTGTGGCCCGGGACCACTTGGCCGGCCGGACCAAAAAATAATAATAATTTTCTTTATTTTTTATTTTTTTTTAAATTTGGTAAAGAATTCCGATATGACCCTGAGGCAAAAGTTGTTCAGTTTATTTTGCGGAATAACATATTGTTTTAAATTTGGTAAAGAATTCCGATATGACCCTGAGGCAAAATTGTTCAGTTTTTTTTTTTTTTTTTTTTGGTAAAGAATTCCAAAATGACCCTGAGGGCGAAATATTTTATTTTAAATTTGGTAAAGAATTCCGATATGACCATGAGGCTTCTAACACCCAGTGCGGGCTGGAAAGAACCACTTACTTCCACAACCAGCCAGGAGGGGCCCAAGCCAACAGTCTCCGCAGATGAACCCGATGCATACCCCTAGTAGGCCACGGGGATCGAAAAGACGACGCTAACCAACTGAGCTAGCCCGCTTCCGCTGGATACCTTTTTTATATAGGGTTTTGGCCAAAAGTTCCCTGAAGCCCCGATATGACCCTGAGGCTGCTAACACCCAGTGCGGGCTGGAAAGAACCGCTTACTTCCACAACCAGCCAGGAGGGGCCCAAGCCAACAGTCTCCGCGGATGAACCCGATGCATACCCCTAGTAGGCCACGGGGATCGAAAAGACGACGCTAACCAACTGAGCTAGCCCGCTTGCGCTGGATACCTTTTTTATATAGGGTTTTGGCCAAAAGTTCCCTGAACCCATTTGGCCGGAACCCACGTTACCCATTGGTTACTTGGAGACCATACTCACAGTTAATATGGGCTTTGCCCGTATGCCATATTAACTCTGGGCTAAACCACCAGTCCATCAGGCGCTACATTGACGACCCAATAAACGCTTTCTGCCGACTCTGCAATTCACATTGCACGTCTTTGTTGTCTTCGAGGGAGGCAGAAAAGGGGGATTGAGGGTGGGTCGCCTAAAGCATATGTGTTCAACTGACACTGAAGTGATATACGGGTATTGTGCCAACAGATGACAGGGAAAAGATAAGGGGGAAAAAAAAACAAAAAAGAATATAGGTTTGGAGCCGTTGGATCCACCCGAGGGTGTTCATATAGTCCCTGTGCAGTTGTACTAGCCTAAACCGCATGTGTTCATATAGTCCGTAGGACATAATGTGCGAAAACGCCGAAAAGATCAATGATGCCGGGGAGGACATAATGTGCCAAAAGAGACAACCAGAGTGATCAAAATCACTCCAGCACAAAATAGTAAATACTAAATAGCTAGGCTACCAGAGTGGCCCGGGTCCACTTGACCGGCCGGGCCACAAAGAAATAAAAAAATAAAAATGATTTTTTTAAGTTAAATTGTTAATGTAAATTTGGTAATGTGAGGACCAAGCCCTCAAGGGGCCCTATCAGACACCACATGATCTGGGCTAAGGCCCCCAGCAAGCCGAGTGCCCGCCCTACGTGAAGGCGGGCCTGAATATTCGTCAGAGGCAAAATTTGACATTTCCATATGTGGGTATTCAGGCTCTCGCAGCACGCCAGTTGGTTGGGTAGACGCGTGAACCTCACAAAGCTCCGTCATACAGTTGGCCCAGGACTTGACAGTTGCGCCTGGGCACATACACACAAAGCAGGGCCGATACATTGGGAAGCAGGCCATCGGCCTTTGCAAAAGCAGTACTGCCGACGCACCTGCCTCGGAGCCCACAGATGCAGCAAACAACCCAAGTCCGGAGACTCAGGCCGTGCCCAACTGTAACGGGCCCAGGCCCTCAACTGTAGTCTCGGGCCTTGGCGCAGGGTCTGAGGCCCAACCGGAAGCTACTGGAAGCTTCCAGCCAGGCCACACGCAGCATCCAGGAGCCTGCCACTTCCATAAAAGAAGTGAGGCAGCCCAGGCCAGGCATTCTGGCCAGTACAGGCAATGCGGAAGTGCTGCTGCGCTCGGCCAAGGGCTCTGACGGGGCACGCAGTGGTGAAGTGGGGCGCTGCAGGGCAGCGGGGTGCAGGCGGCCATAGCCGGGCTGCTGGGCGCCAGGGGGTACAGCGGGTGATCTGGTGGTCTTCAGGGAAGGAGGCGCAGTGTGGGGTAATCAAGGTCTGATTGAGGGTGACGAGATACGTACCTGGTGCACGAAGAGAGGTCGGCTATGGAGTTGACAGTCATGTACATTGGTCTTCGAGAGTCGAAGTGAGCCTGTTGCGTGAACCAGCTGTAGGTAGGATAGTCGGGCAGAGTAGGTTGGGCGCTGRGCGCCAGACAGAGAGGAGCGACTTTGGATACTGTGTTGGTGTGGCCTACGGGCTTGAACATTGGCTCATTACTTCATGGCATTGCTCTATACGGATGGTTTCTCGGTGCATTTTGTACTCTCTGCTTGAATACGACTACCTGGACATCTGTGTGATTTCGCAACATTGGTTTTCTGTATATCGTTCACACTCATATTCCTTGCAGTAAAGAATTTCGATGTGACCCTGAGGCAAAAGTTGTTCCATTTATTTTTCTGCGTAACATAATTTGCTTTCGGATTTATTTTTATTTTTATTTTTTTTTGGTTGGGACCTTCCCTGGTCCTTGCACGGCCGCACCGCCCGGGAAAATAGGGTGACCCGGGCGGCCAGGCTGGTAGCCTAGGTAAATAGTAAATAGAGATAGAGATCAATGATGTCGGGGAACGCCCTCACTAAGGGAATACTCGTACTAGTACCTTTCCAGAATGTATCTGACCTCTATTACGGCCAAATCTTTGTTCTTGTTGTTTTTTTCTTTCCCTTTTCTTTCTTTTCTTGTTCTCTTCTTTTCTTTCTTAGTGCCCTGGTAGCCAGGCCAGGCGTACTCCACGTTCTCAGGAAAGGCCCTCACTCAGGGCATACTACTCACACTACCCTCTTCCCCTGAACACAACGCACCCTCATTTCGACTGTATCGGGCCGGAAACATTCTTGTATACATTCATTTTCAGGGTGTCTTATGTTCGCGGGAAGATGGTAGTATTTTTTTCCAGAATGTATCTGACCGCTATCTCGGGTCAAGTCCTGGTTTCTTCTTGTTCTTTTTACTTTGTTTCTTCCTCCGTAGCCCAGCCCAATTTCTTCGTTTTATTTTTTCTTTCCTTCTTTCTTGTTTTTTTTGGTTTTGTTTTGTTCTTTTTTGTTTTGTTATCCCAGTTTCGATTTCAATCGATCTTTTTGGGCCCACCAGCAGCCGTTTCCCTCTGAAGAGTCTAAAGACTCTCAACCTAATGGGTTCCATAAGCCTCGGCCTGTTCACTGTAGATTTTGCTACGATATTTGTACACAAAAAAAATATTCAGTACAGGGTCTGATGGACTGGTGGTGTAATTGGAGACCATACTCAGTGTTAAATTGTTAATAATAATACTTAATGTAGGTTTTGGCCAAATCCCATAGTAACCATGGCTTAATTGGAGACCACACTCACTGTTCATATGGCTTTCAATTTTGGCCAAAAAGTTGGCAAAAACCATATTATGATATTAGTAGCATAGTACCCTTGGGTTAATTGGCGACCATAGTCAGTTTTAGTAAGGGGTTTTGGTCAGACCCCAAATTTGAAATTAGCCATGGGTTCCAATGGGCTAACTCAGGCCCATAGCCAGTGTTAATTGGAGATGACAGAGCCAAATGGAATAAACTGCTAATGTCGCCATGTTGAGCGTTAGACGGATAAAAAATTCCGATTAATTTAAATAGACCGTGTGTTATAAACCAGGCCGCACGGGTCACCTTGTTTGCCCGGGCCGCTCGGCCGGGCAAGGACCAGGGAAGGTCCCTGTTTATTAAAAAAAAGAAAAAAAAAAAAGAAAAAAAAAAAGAAAAAGGAATACCAAAAAATCCGAAAAAATATATATGTTGTGCAGAACAATAAACTGAACAACGTTTGCCTCAGGGTCGGACCAGAATTTCTTCGCGAGATAAAAAATAAAAAATAAAATTGAACAAATATTTATTTATTTATAATTTAATTTAATTTAATTTTCATTTTTGGCCCGGCAAGGCAAGTGGTCCCCGACCACTCTGGTAACATAGAATAGACCGCAATTTAAGAAATTAAACCAACAAATTGGTACTGATGTGAACTTGTATTTTTTCCCCCCCATCTTTGTTTTCCATAACAGATGTTTCACAAGAGTACAAAACTTGGGAACGATGTCTCTCACACTCAATTGGACACATCCTGCTCTGCAGGTCTTTGCTGATTGCCTACTAGAAACTTGTGCATGTTCCTTTGTGTGTGTGTGCACCCTGCTTTGCTTTGCCCTCTCACATTCAACACAGATGAATGGAGCCGACTCGGTTCTGCAACAAGGAGAGAAAAACATGCGACATAAACCCGACTCGGACAGCTCCAAATACGAAAGAGAAAAAAAGAGACAAAAAAACTATACACCTCACTCTGTCCTTCGGGACGTCTGTTAAATTTGGAACGATACACAGAAAATTAGCATGGCCCCCGTGCAAGGATGACACACACAAATGAAGAACTGGTAGTGAGCACACCTATTCCGATCCGAGAATCGAGCACACACCCTTCCCCTGGCTAGGAGGATACTCAAACCAATAGGAGGATAAGTGAACTGGGATGAAAGTTAAGCCCCAACATGACCACTTAACCCCACCCCAGCAAGGGTACTCGTTTCTTTTCCCGGCGGCCCACTGTACCCAGTAGGGCCAGTACACACTTGACGCCATCAGCGATGCCATCACCAATGTCGAGGCAGTCAGCCCCAAGAAATCAAGAACTGATACAAATTTATTTATAGAAAAAAAAAGTTAAAAAAAGTTATTAAAAAAAACACAATACCTGAATAGACCTAACTCACCTGGCCTAAGTACCCATTGGCAGTACCATACAAGATCTCTTTTGCATTTGCCTTTACCGTTGTCTTGGCGCCTGTCCTCTGCGCTTTCCCAAGAGTCATATAGACCGAACAAATCAAGACACCCAAAAAAATAAACAAAGAAAAAAAAAAAAGAAAGAAAGAAAGAAAGAAAAATGCCTGGTTGAGTAAACATGGTGAACAAACAAAGGAGAAGGCTCACAAATCGACAAGCAATTGCAAAATTACTAAATTAGTAAATTACAAATCAATTCTGAGAATGTATGACCCCCTTAAAGACTTAACGTGCTTTTCAGAAGGCTTTTTTTTTTTTTGTTTTGTTGGGGGGGGGGGGGGGGGGGGGGGGGGAGTGGGGCAAATTGCATCTGTACCACATTTAAAGATGGGAATACCCAAAATTGAAAATACCCAGTCCAGCACCCAACTTGCATCTATACCCAGACCCTCATTCACGGTTCATTCAAACGGTAGATGGAAAATCCACACGTCAAAGTTAAAGTTCAAACACATGATGACAACGATGCAATAATTATAAGACATTTTACCTCAAGACAAGAAATCACAGGGTTATGGCGTCCCCGATGCCGTGTTTCGAGGCACGGCAGCCACTCCGCCTTCCTCAGCGGGTTCCCACCGTCCCTCACCCCCCCTTGACTAAGCATCGTCCACTCACTAACCCTCTCCCGTACCCGCAGTTGCACACAGCATCCCGCTACTGATGGACCGCAGATCCGTTCCACCTGTGAAAGAGATAGAACTCTTCGAGCACCTAGTATGTATCGCAATCAAAACAGTAAACCAAGTCTATACTACGGGTAGGTCTATACTATGTCTATACTCGGCTACTGACAGTAAACCAAGTCGGACCCAGGGTAACAAAAACATTCTTGAAAATTCCGGTCCAGTACCTCCAGGGGAGGCTTCGGGATGGTCCTATGAGGTGCCCATTGTATCATGGCCCAGACCTCACTTCTGCCGCCCCACGCCCGACTAGCACTACAAACATTCGCAGACCCAGAACCCTGTGTGTCCGAAAATCGATTCAACGTGGGTTCCGCATTGAAAGATTCAACGCGCGTTGAATCCTCGTTGAATCCCCGTTGAAAAGCCCGTTAGACGGGTTACAACGGGCCCCGCGATGATTTTTTCCGCGGCGTAAAAATTGTGAGGAACAAGCCCTCAAGGGGCCCTATCAGACATCACATTGTTCTGGGCTAAGGCCCCCAGCAAGCCAAAGTGCCCGCCCTAAGTGAAGGCGGGCCTSAATATTCGTCAGAGGCAAAATTCGACATTTCCATATGTGGGTATTCAGGCTCTCGCAGCACGCCAGYTSGTTGGGTAGACGMGTGAGCCTCACATYTCTGCGTCATACAGTTGGCCCAGGCCTTGACAGTTGCGCCTGRGCACACATACACAAAGCAGGGCCGATACATTGGGAAGSAGGCCTTCGGCCTTGGCAAAAGCAGTAGTGCCGACACACCTGCCTGGGAGCCCTGCACAGATGCAGCAAACAGCCCAAGTCCAGAGACTCAGGCCGTGCCTAACTGTAAAGGGCCCAGGCCCTCAACTGTAGTCTCGGGCCTGGGCACAGGGTCTGGGACCCAACCGGAAGCTACTGGAAGCTTCCAGCCAGGCCACACGCAGCATCCAGGCGGCTGCCACTTCCACAAAAGGAGTGAGGCAGCCCAGGCCAGGCATTCTGGCCAGTGCTGGCAATGTGGAAGTGCTGCTGCGCTCTCGCTTAATGCTGCGCTGCTGCCAAGGGCGCTGACAGGGCGCATAGAGGTGAAGTGGGGCGCAGGCGGCCATAGCCGAGCTGCTGGGCGTCAGGGGGTAATGCGGGCGATTGAGTGGTCTTCAGGGAAGGAGGCGAGTGTGGGGTAATCAAGGTCTGATTGAGGGTGACAAGATACGTACCCGGTACATGAAGAGAGGTCGGCGATGGTGTTGGCAGTCATGTACATTGGTCTTCGTGCGTCGAAGTGATCCTGTTGCGCGAACCAGCTGTAGGTAGGATAGTCGGGTAGAGTAGGCTGGGCGCTGAGCGCCAGACAGAGCAGAGCGGCTTTGGATACTGTGTTGGTGTGGCCTACGGGCTTGAACTTCGGCTCATTACTTCATTGTATTGCTCTATATGGATGGTTTTCTCAGTGCATTTGTACTCTCTGCTTGGGACACGACTACTTGGACAGCTGTGTGATTTCGCAATTTGGTTTTATCAACTTTTATGTATATCGCTCACACTCATATTCCTTGCAAAATAATCAAAAAAA